TTTTTTTTTCACATGTTATAAGTTTTGACGTCTTTAGGACCTGAAAAGATCCTGACAACACAGTCTCGTATCTGCTTTGTTTTCACTCCATAGACAATAGGGTTCATGGTGGGAGGCAGGAGCACATAAATATTGGCCACAATGATGTGGCAAGATGGAGGAATTGTGTGGTGGCCAAAGCGGTGGGAAAAAAATGAGAAAAAGGCTGGACTGTAAGAGAAAACAATGGCACAGATGTGGGCAGTGCAGGTGCTGAAGGCCTTCTGCCGAGCATCTGCTGAGGAGAGGCTGACTACTGCCCTCAGTATCATGGTGTAGGAGACAGTGATGCACAGGATGTCGAAACCTCCAATAAGGAGGGCAACCATCAGCCCATAGATGGCATTGACCTTGATATTGCCACAGGACAGCTTGGCCACAGCCATGTGGTCACAGTAGGTGTGGGGGATGATATTACCTCTGCAGTAGGGCAGGCGCTTGGTGAGGAAAGTGAAAGGAATAATAAGCAGCACTCCTCTTAGGAAGGTGACAAGCCCAGACCTTATAATGACAGGACTGGTGAGAATGGTTGAGTAGCGCAGAGGGTAGCAGATGGCCACATAGCGGTCCAGGGCCATGAGCATGAGCACCCCAGACTCCATCCCTGTGAAGCTGTGGATGAAGAACATCTGCACCAAACAGTCATCAAATCCGATTTCCTTGAGATGAAACCAGAAGATGCAGAGCACCTTGGGGACTGTGCTAGAGCACATGACAAGGTCAGTTAAAGAAAGCATAGCCAAGAAGTAATACATGGGCCTGTGCAGTGAGGCTTCGTGATAGATGAGGTAGAGCAGTCCACAGTTCCCAGCCATGGCCATAACATACATAGAGCAGAACGGGAGGGAAATCCAGATCTGCCTGTCCTCCAGCCCTGGGATCCCATTAAGAATCAGGGTAGATGGTGACCACTCTGTGTGGTTTAGCATTACCACGATTATGCTGCTATGATCACCTTATAGCATCGTTAAATTGTCCTAAAAACACAGAAAAAAATCATGATCATACTCACTGTCAGTTTATTTTACCTTAAATCACCTTTGCATTTTCAAATAACTAACTTGGTTTTTCATTTTTTTAAGTAGACAAATATATTTTTATGATTGCTTTCTATTACTAATAGATGCATGCACAAAACTAATGAAATATTAAAGAATTAGACAACACCATTAAATAATGTGGCCTTATTGACATTCACAGAAAGCCCTTTTTTCCCCAAGTGCCCATGGATTATTTTCAAATGTAGAGTATACGGTGGAATATACAGCAAATCTGTAGGATTGAAGTCTTATATAATTTTTTATCTGTTAATTTTATTGAGAAAGAAGTAACAATGAGACAGTTTCACAACAGGTTAGTAGGATGGTTGCAATGATTAATATATTGCATATTGTTGTCTTTGTAGTAGTTAGTCATAGTACAAGATGTAGACATGATATCTTGTCTAAACACTATTAGTTCAAAGGTTTTTATCATTGAACTAAGAGAAAGTAGCTGTGTATCTATGCTAACTATTTTTATATACAGACATATATTTATACATTTTTTCAATACAAAACGGTCCTTCAAATAACTAACCCAATAGCTTTTGTCTGTGTGTCATTTTTAAATTCATTAATTTAGCAATATATTCCACAAATATTTGTTGTATTCAATACTTGTGTAGTCTTCTAATGGAAAAATAATATTCATTGACATTGATTAAGTTTATATTACATTCCTGAAACTATTATTTTAAATTTATTATTTAAGTATTACTAGCTATACTCCTCTCAGGAAAAAAAGACCAACATGCAAATCAATAAACCTTAAACACATCTCTTTAGGTATTTAGTACAGGGTCTCACTGCACAGATCCTACTTGTAGTGATTCTCCTGTTTTCAGCCTCCCAAGAACTAGGATTACAGGTAGGTGCCACCACACCTATCTTCAATTGCTGTCTCAGCATGCTCATGGTCAGGACCAGCATGTCACTCCAGGGATCAAACTCAGGCCCTTGTGTTTGCCTAAGCAAGCACTTTAATCCACTGAGCTATCTGGCTGGCTCTCATCCCACTTTTTAGACTAAAGTTATAGTGGTATCTTTTGAATCAACCAGCTGGTGATGAAAATAGTCATTGGACCAGAGTCAGTCAGTTCATGCATGGCTCACTGCATCAGCATCTTCCTAAAGAAGATCAACCAAAGGTGTATTTTAAGTGTATGACCGTCAGACATCATTTTTAAAAGTGCAAAGCATCACAATCCCATCCAGAGTCTCAGGCAGGAGGATTCCTGCAAGTTTGAGGCCAACATGTCCTACACAGGAGGTTGAAAATTATCCTGAACTGAAGAGTAAGACCCTGTCTCAAAATGAGAAAGTTATAGGTTTGGCCTGTTAAAGTAAATTATTGAAATTTCTCTATACAAGTGGACATTAATCTGTTAGTTTCAATTAAGAAGTCTGTGAGGGTTATAAAGCATTCCATAATTAAGAAAAAAACAAAGTGAAATAATGTACAATTGTCAGAGAAAATGTGCACAAAATTTTGACAAGATATATTAATTTGAGATTTTGTAGAAATCAAAGCAAGAGAAGCTAGACTGGATATTTTTAAATTCCCGGTAAAAAGTGTAGTAAGTGTGCATTTAAAACATGTTTTTTAGGATCAGAGGCATATGCTGTTTTTGATTCACTATCTCCAGAATTCTAACATAATAATCAATGAAATTCTTTCTTAATTTTTGATCTATAGAAACATTAATATGAGGAAATTTCAAATTAATGCTCAAGAATTATAAATGTTCTAGTCCTCAATTTGGTGTTATTGATTAAGGCTTAAAGGAACATATTAGCTTCGTAACATCAAAAAATTAATATATATGCACTGTAGAAAAACAAAACATAGTGGTCTCAGTTTTAATAACAATATTTTCCCCAGGCTGAGCAAAATTTTTTAAAAATATGTGTACATTATATACTTCAAATAACTTTTCTATACATTATTTAACAAATATAGGTTTTATATTTTTATATTTTTATTTTTTTAAAAGAGTACAAATTAGAATTAAAACAGAAAAAATTACAAGTGATACAGAATTCCACTTAACAAAGTAATATTAATTTCTCTGTATTTGTTGTAATAGTGTGTTGTCTTCCAACCAGTTATTCCTATTACTGGATTTATGCATATAAAATTAGAAGAATAAAATAATAATTGCATTAGAAATTAAAAAGAGAAAAAGTATAATTGAAAAAGGAGACAAAGCAAATTAAGGTATTAACTGCTCCTTTCCATAGGCCAGCAAAAATGCACAGTACTGTTGGCCAAACCATCCTGCTTACATACACAGACAAATCTCTTTCCCCCATTCCCTCTCCTGTCCTTCTCCTCAACTCAGTAACAAAATACAGATTTTAAATAGTTAAACAATCACTTGTAATGCTAGGAAAATAAACTTTGGAGATGATTTCAAAAAAATTTCTGGCAGTTGTATTCGCTATTCTTTCTGCTTAAAATGCACTTAATTTATTAACTTTTACCTATTACGTTCACTTATCTGCCTCCATCTATGCTTGTCATTGTCTCTAAATACAGTAGCTATGAATGTATGTGGCTTCATTTTTCATTTGAGCCTAATGTTACAATTCTGAACAATACTATATCGATTCCATGTGTTACTATTTTCTTCATAAGGATGAATAAAATAATTTACTTTATATCAAAATATGTACCCTTATCTCTACTGGATTTTAACCACATATGCATATGACATGATCACCTAGAAATATTAATGAAGTGTAGGAGTCCCCTAAAATGTTAGTGGATAGCTTTGCCATTACTTGTACTACCCTGATAAAGGCATTTCCCAACTGTGCGATAAACAACAGCAAACATATGTAGGTATTCTGTGCATTCCCTTTTATGTGAGGATATCATTAATTAAGCAGCTGCTTTACTCTTACATTGAAATTTCAGATCTCATAAAGGTTTAAGATATTTGGGGGCCTGCCCATTAGCTCAGTTGTTTAAGTGCCGGCTAACCAAAGCAGTCAGGCTCAAGATGCTCTGGTTCGAACCTCACTTCTCACAGGAAACCAGAAATGCCCTTAAGGAAATTTCAGGCCACCAAAAAAAAAAAAAGAAAGAAATCTGCCAAATGCTTGTCTAAAACTATAAGCTAAAACTAAAATGACATATGTTTAAACCAAATGATTTTTACAAACTTAATCTGTTGTTTTAAAATAAATTTTAAGGCTTTTTTTCTAAGAGTCTAATTCAATGTCTTTGTTTAGGGAATTTGACTGATACTGTGCTGTGGGTTTCTAGATATTACAATTCTGTCATCATTTATGCAGTGCCAGTTTATATATCTCTCATTGACAATCATTTCCAATTTTTACAGGGAGTGACATTTTTTCTACTATATAATTCTCAAGTCTTGTGACTCACAAAAATGGGTTCCTCATGTTAAATATTGCCATGTATATCAGTCTCAAGGATTTAAAAGGGGTGGGGGTGGGGGCATGGGACCGAATGGAGCCAATACGAGGCCTTAAGTTTGATCCCATTGTGACAAAAAAAAAGGATAAAAAAAGAAAAGAAAGAAGAAAGAAAGGAAAAGTCACCTCTATTCCTCAGGCTGGCTTTGAACATGATACCCTCCTCCCTCACCCTCCTGAGAAGCTGAGATTATAGGCATATGCCAGCACAAAGGGTAGAAATTCTTATGCATGTACATATATATATATATATAGATGTGTATATGAGGAGTCTATTTTTGTGAGTCACAAGACTTGAGAATTATACAGTAGGAAAAATGTCACTCCCTGTGATCACTGCCTCTTACCAACCCAGTGAAACAAATTCCTAAGGAGTATGAGAAGACAGATAGGCAGCAACTGAAACTTGAACATGATCCTTGGGATTTATAATTATCATCCACATTTTTGCCTTACTCTTTAACAAGGCAGTGGTTTGTCCCTGATATCCATTCCCAAAGCAAACATTCTTACAAGGCTAGGACAATTGTTCACAGAGATGCACGGCTACTATGCTAACTTAAGTTGAATTATAATACTAAAGATGAACAATAAATGTTTCTAGCAGCACCCGCACCATCTTCTTGTATCACATTTTAACTTGAACATAGATAGTAGAGCAAAATATTCCTTTCTGGAGGAAAAAACAGTCATTATCTATGTTAAATATTTTTTTAAATGAGATTCTGTAACCACTGGTACCCAAAGCACTTTATTCAAATATCTTAATTCTGGAAGACAAAACAAGAAGGCAAATTATACCTGATTTGAATTTCAAAAAATATGGTTGATCAAGCATTACAAATTCTTGATCTGAAGACTGTTGCCTTGCACAGAAGAGAAATGAATGTTATATATCCCAAGTATCTCAAGAGAAAATTTGCAAACATCGGACTGGCATTAAGATAATCTCCAGGGTGCCCAGAGATGACTGATGAACATCTAAATATAGTGTGCTTGTAGATGGTGTGTGTGTGTGTGTGTGTGTGTGTGTGTGTGAACATATGTGTGTCAACACTACAAATGGAGTATTTTAATAGAAACCAATGATTTAACTACACCAGGTGGGGGTTACTTTTCTACAAAGTTTTGCAATGTCCTGGGGGGTGGGAAATCACACTGGATATACTTACATAATGTGAATGATTTACTAATATAGTCATTTATTAAATTTTTATTTTTTATTTTTTAAAGAATATGAAGGCCGACCAAATAGCTCAGAGGATTAAAGTACCAGCTAGCAAGCTCAGGGGCCAGGGGTTCGATCCCTGGGGCCTGCCATGCCAGACTTACCCCCTGGGGCACGCTGAGACAGCAGTTGAGACTGCGTGTGGTGGTGCATGCCTGTAATCCCAGCTCTTGGGAGGCTGTAAACAGGCAGATCACTATGAGTCCGATCTGTTAGTGAGACCCTGAACACCCTGTAGACTAAAGGAAAAAAAAAAGAATATCAAATGATAAAAGTAAATATTAGAAATGGTATAAAATTTCATTAAGCAAAGTAATAGGAATTTGACAGTGGTTGTTGTATTGCATAAAGTTATCCTAAAATTAGTTGTTTAGCTTCTGACATTGACATACGAATAACCCACTACTATTATGGACTACTGGACTACATTGGAATATTTTGCTGAATTCAAGCATCCACAATATTTAAATGACAATGGAATACCCATCTCTAACAAAACTAAACAAAAAAAGGGGGATACAAATGAAGGACCATTTTGTATTTGTATATATAAAATAGTATAGATATACAGATACTTTCCCTTAATTCAATGAGAAAAAAAGAGTGGCACTAATAGTGTTTGGACAGTATGTCATGTATATCTTGTACTACGAATAACCACTATTAACACAACAATATGCAATGTATTAATTATTGAAGCTGTCCTACTAATTGGTTTTGAAACTCTCTCATTGCTGGTTTTTTCTCAATAGAATAAATTTAAGAAAAAGAAAAAAAATAGTTGTTTAGGTTACAATATATAAAACTGCAAAATTAGTTTTAAAAAGTTATAAGAAATTAAATGGAGGAAAAAGAATTTAAACATTAATGGCTCCATTCAATAGACCAGCAGAGACCCAGTCCTAGCCCAGGTCGAGTGAGTGTGTGGGAGAGCTTCCTGATACCATGCGGCAGCGGGACCAGTCCCAGCCCAGGCGCAGAGTGGGCCAGACCCTCCCCCACCCCCTTGGGACGACCCCCACCACTCCGCAGCACCTCCTCCACCCCATCCACCAAGTAAGAATTTCTGCCGCATTCCAGGAACCCCCAGACACAGTCCTAGCCCAGGTCCCCTGAGTGTGTGGGAGAGCTTCCTGCTACCCTGTACCAGCGGGACCAGTCCCAGCCCAGGCGCAGAGTGGGACAGACCCTCTCCCACCCCCTTGGGATGCCCGCCACCACTCCGCAGCACCTTCCCCACCCCGCCCACCAAGTAGGAATTTCTGCTGCATTCCGGGAACCCCCAGACCCAGTCCTGGACCAGGTCCGATGAGTGTGTGTGGGAGCTTCCTGCTGCTGTGCACCGGGCCGGACCAAATACAGGACCGAGCCCAGGCACGGTGTGGGGAAGACCCTCTCCCACCCACTTCAAACCCCCCCACCACTCCGCAGCACCTCCCCGACCCGCCCTCTGGGTAGGAATTTCTGCTGCTTTCCAGGAACCCCCAGACCTAGTCCTAGCCCAGACCAGGTGAGTATGAGGGAGAGCTTCCTCTCCCCTCTACACCACCTTTCCCCATCCAGGCAAAACTCAGGCCTGGCATACATGCCTTGGGTGTAACCCTGCAGCTGCAATCCCTGAAGAGAGTGTAGAGGATAGATCCACCCAGGTAGTCCAGGAGCAGAAAATCTTGCCACAGGAGCACAACAGATTCACCCTCAAGGACAGCAGCAGGAAGGAGCTGAGCACAGCAACCAGACCTAAGCCAGGAAGAGCTGGATAAGTCCAAACATTGTAGAGCTGCACCTGAACTTCAGTACGGGAGAAGGTAATAACTATAAAAAAAATCTACAACAAAGGTCAGAAGACAGTGCTACACAAAATGACGAGAAGGAA